AACCCGCTTCCTGCGTTTGCCCCTCAGGTTTCCCGTTTATCCACAAAGGCCTAGGAGAGCCTCGCCCACAGGCTGACCCTGCAACCTCTGGCCCGGTGGCTGCCTTCTGTTTTTCTGAAAAAGAAAAGGAAAAAAAAGAAAAAGAAAAAAAAAAAAAGAAAAATCAACCAGTCGAGGGAGGCGCGTGAGGACTGCAGGCGCCAGCCGGAGAGCCTGTGAGTGGGGCTGTGGCTGGCCCCAAGCCCCTGGGTCGGTGCCGCTTCTCGGGTCAGCACGGCCTTTCTCAGAGTAAACCTCCTAAATGTGTGAAGACCGCTTTGGGGGAAGCGAGAGGGCGGTTGGAGGAGCGCCGGACGAGGTCTCAGAGCCCACCGTGTGTGCCTTCAGGGCTTGGGTGTTAGCTGTGACGGTAACCGCGTGCGCCTCACTACTACGGACAAGGGGCTAAGGCAGGGTGGATGCAATCACGTACGCCTGGCCCCGGAAGATGCTCGCAGGGTGGGTTAGGAAGTCCAATCCTAGAAAGTTATCACTAAAAGTTTTTTTCCCCTTCCTTTCTTCCTTCCTTCTTTGCTTCCTTCCTTTTTTTATGTAGGGGAAGGGAAAAACATTACTGAGCGTCTACTATAAACTGGGCACTTAAAAATCAGAAAATTTATTTTAATAATTCTGATACACACACATAAGAATTTCTGTTTTATAGAGGAGAACACTGAAATTTGAATGTGTATTTTGCCCAAGATTACATAGTTATTAAAGAGGACATCAGGTTCCATTCCAGTTCTTCCTGGCTGAACAGGCCAGGTCTTTGCCCTATTCTGCACAGGCCACCTCCCCGAAGTGACAAGATCCCAGAACAAGCTTTTTACAGCTCAGCACCAAGCCTGTGCGGCAAACAGCCTGCACAGCAGCAGTTTCTGTGGCACAGTCTGCCCACAGCTCAGACTGTGCCTCCTTTTCCTGGGAGGCTTCCCTTCTTACTCCTGGGAGGCTCTCCTTTACTACACAGCTCCCTTGAGCATCAGTGGCAGCTGGGCTCAGCTGCTGTCAAGTCTCCTTTTAAAATTTCGGAGACCATTTGCCCCACAGATAGCTGGATGACCTCTGGTTGGTCTCTTCTCTTCCTAGGACCTGAGATTCCTCAAATGTAATTCTGGGTTCCTACACGCAAGACACTCTTTTTATGACAACTGGGAGCCCTCTCTCCAGAAAGTGGAAAGTTGCTAAGACTGCTTGGTTTTAAGAATCCTTAATTCCTGGTTGTCCCTAAGGTATGGGGTTCCTAGTCCCATCCTTTCCCATATTCTAAGGGTCCCACAGTCTACTCCAAGGAGCAGGGACTGCCACACAGTGGTGGCAGGCCTGATGGGCAGGGCCCCAGGGTCACCACCAGGTTAGATCTGCAGAATGGGGACACTGCAGGGGTCCTGAGTCTGATCAAGATGTTTCCTGGCCTTAGACCCCCCACCCACAGAGGCCAGGAGTCTGGTCTGGCAATTCTGTCCATGAAGCCTGGCCCAGGCCTTCATAAAGGGAAGAGCTCAGTTGAGAGCAAACTGTTTTGGGCCAGACTCAGATTCCTGGCCCATATTCTGCTTGTCGGACTGCATAAAGCCTGGGTCTGGCCCCAATTTCCACCCTCCACCAGGGGGTTCCTTGCAGCTCCATCTCCAGCCTTGGCTTCCAGGAAACCCTGGCGAAGGCTGGATGCACCTAATCTCGGATGAAAGGTCCAGGGCCTCTTGCTCATCTAAGCCTCAGATGTGGAGCTGTGAACTATTTACTGATGCAAGCAGAAAAGAGGCCGTCAATACCCTCTGTAGTAGGGTACAGGACCATCTCCAGAACTCTGTAGGTCCCCTTCCCACAGTCCCTTGGTGCATGTACTTCAATGGCAAAGATTTCTCCAGGTCCCTCTTGAGAATAGGACACCTCCCCCCGCTTTCTCCCAACCAACCCACTTACTCTGACTGGGCAATTTTAGTGAGGTGGAGGTGACTCTAAGAATTTCTGTGTAAATGTGAGGAGGGGGCTCATACTGTCGGCAGTGTGTGAGGATGTTTACACCAACCACACACATAATCTTCATGCAAGAACAACTCATTAGGCAGGACATTCAGGAACTGGCCAGGTATTTGTATTAAACTCTATTTACATTGTATTTACACACTGGCCAACATATATACATACATCCGCATGGCCCAGCTGTCTAGACCAGACTGTATATACTAAGGCATAATTGCTATATAACTCTCTTAAATACTTTTGCCCTCAGGAATTGCTTAAATCAGCTTCTATAATAGAAATTCAAAAGTGCAAAGAGGGAGAGAAGAGAAAGGAAATGAGAGACGAAGACAGCCTGCCATTGAACTAAACTTTCGGCACAGAGGAAAATGACCAAACTTAAGAGCTTTGGAGAAATCCCGAGGGCTGGAGTTAGACAGATTTTTCCTGTGGGCATTCATGGTGAAGTGGGGTATGATGTGGCTCCCTTCTCTCACCTCCTTCAATCCCTGTGTAGACCCAGGAAACCCTCACTGATTCCTTCATTTCGTCTTCCTTACTTGCTGAGGCTGCTGCTCTCTTCCCAGCCTTGGGTGCCTTTTGCCTTTCAGTTCTCAGAGAGCAGACAGGCTGGTCCTCCATTGCTGGCCCCAGACAACTTCTCTGTCTCACTGGAGGTGGGCTGCTACCTGCGCACCGGGTCTTGGCCCTGGAGACTTCCCTCCCCTGCTTCCTCTGCTTCAGACAGCAGCTGGGAGCGTGCTCACAGCCAGCCTCAGAACAGGGAGCCTCTGCCTGATGAAGCAAAGGCTCTGTCCATATTATTTTATTTTTCAGCAAGCCAGGAATACACACCCACAAATGCACACATCACCAGTAAGGTATGAATGCCACACACACTGTGGTCCCAGTAAGCACTTCCTAAGTGTTAGCCATATGATTATTACAATGCCGAAAATAAATGCCCACTCTGTAGGCGAATGACAGACACACACACCTCCCACCCTGTCACCAATGCACAACTGACACTGTACACACACATTTGCAGCAGATACAGACTACACAATTAATTGCCCACAATTAATTACATTTTCACATTAGACAAAGCACAAACAGACACGCACATAGCAGGCTGCTTTCTGTTCTGCAACTCCCCTCAGCCAGATAATGGAGCAGCTGGGCACCAAAGGCACCCAGACACCAGCCCTGACCAGCCTCTAGGGCTTCCTGCTCCAGCTGAGCCTCCCTCTCCATCCTGCTGCTGCCGGTTCCTGGTAGGCTCCAGTCTCAGTCTTGAGGTGATGCCCCCTGAGAATCCCCATGGCTTAGTCTCCTGCCTTGTAGTCTCTGGCAGGATGCCTGTGGGGTGCGGGGGGCATTCTGAGCAGAAGCCACTTGGGCCCAACTACACATAACGGGGATACCACCCTGAGGTTCCTACCGCCTGACCACTGGAGGGCTGAAGTGAGAGGCCTGCAGGCTCATTCTCGTGGTGCAAGACCGCTCCTGGCCCACCAGCCGGCCTGGACCTGCCGCCACTCTGCTGGCCAGGCCCCGAGATAGACCGGGGCAGTGAGGGACACACCGCTGGGTGCGGGGTCTAGTCTCAGCTGAGCAGCAGCCCGCAAGAGCCAGCGGATCTATCCTATCAGAAGTCGGAAGTCATCTATCCCATCAGAAGAGTGAAGGCCCATCACCCCCTAATCCGCCTGGGAGAACCAGACTGCAACCAGGTCAAACGCCTTTGTGCCTGAGCGGAAGCACGGATCTTAATTCGTTATTTGAAGATCTCAGTAAAGGAAGAGAGAGAAAGAAAAAAGACTAAATTTCTGCAGCCACGAAGTATGTTCAATCCTTAGTGAAACCTCCAAATCTCCGACCCATATCTCAAGGTAAATGAATTCTGACTATTAAAAATAACAAATCAGTCACTCCTCACATTTGTACAGAGGTTAGCAGCTTGCAGCGCATTTCCACAACCAGAATTTTATCTATTAATATTCGGAACAAACTCTTGGCTGTTATAGTTGACTCAAAATCGAAAAGTTTGAGAACAATAATAAAAACACAGCCAGCCCATATACCTAGTACAACTGTATATGAGGTAGAATACAAACTTGAATGGGTACAAAAATAAACCGAGTCCTACCTACAGTCGCGCCTTGTGAACGAACTTTCTGCTGACGTTAAACAGCCGCAACGGGCCAGTGATGACACAGAAAACAAACAATCCCCAGGAAAACAAAGCAGCAGCGACAGCCACAAACGCCTGCCACCCCGGTTGCTCTCAATCTTTGTTTAGCTCATTCTGAAAAAAAGAAAATTGTGCTGAAAATGTCCCTCTTTGAACTAGCTGCTGAACGTAGGCGCGACGGAAATAAAGAAGTCCGTGTTAAAAGAAAGAACAAAAAATTTATTCGGGAATCGACAAGGCAAAAAACAAAAACAAAACAAAACAAAACAAAAACAAAAACACAACAAAAGTGCTCTAGTTCTCTCTAGAAAATTTGGTCCCCCAAACAAGTTACAGTACAACCAGGTCTATGGTTTTCAGGCCGGGCCGGCTCCGGGCCACAAGACCACCTAGGTCGGCCGCTGCCGGGTTTCACATTTCTCCTTCCCAAGGTGGGAGAAGCAGGACGTTTGAAAAACAAAAAGCAGGGAGGACGAGCCGTCCCTGCAGCGTGGGCCAGGCAGGCAGTGATCTCCCTGCATCCAGGACTTGCATCGGAAGATCCGGGGACATTTGTTTTTGATTTTTTTCTTCAGATAGGGAGAGGGTGAAACTTCCCCAATTGGTAGACGAAACCATATTTAGTGGATATATTCTCCTACCTCTGAACACAGCTTTTTGAAGGCCCGACAGGAACTCTCACGCAAATCTTCCAGAAGAGAAGATGAGGAATACTAAAGCTTTTGATTTTCATGTTTGGATTTAGCAAGCTCCAAGGCCACAATACTTCCCCGGTTGCCCGGTGAATGTTTCTTCTCCTTACTTTTTTTTTTTTTAATATTCTCTTAAAAAGCTCCACCGATCTTTTAAACAAAACATTAGCCAGCCGCCGGGGCCCGGAGGTGCCCGAAGCGACCGGACTGACAGCGAAGGAAACGCGGCCTCCCTCCGCGCCGGCCCGCGGTGTAAACCGAGTACAGGCCGCGGAGCCAGGCTGTCCCGGCTCCCGCTGGGTCCCAACCCCCGCCCCGCCCAGTGGACCCCGCGGCAAGCGGCTTCTGAACAGCTTCAAGAGGGTTCGCGGAGCAAACACACGTGTTGGTCTGTCCCTTTCTCAGGCAGCGCGGGTCCCGCCGCCAGTCCTGTCCGGCGCGTCTAGCCAGGGACTGCACGGCAGTCGGGCGGGGAACGCCGAGCGCGAGCGCACCGACCTGTGAGAGAAGGCCAAGAGGTCTGCGCCGCCGACGCCCGGTCGCACCTCGGCCCCGGGCCCTTTCCGCGGTCAACTTGGGCGGGAGACGCTGGGGCTCCGGAAAGAGACGAGCCCAGTAAAAAGCGCGCAGAGAGGCGGCTTCAGGCCAGGGGAGTGCAAGGGCATAGAGGTCAGGGAGGTGAGCACAGGAGGACAAGCAGAGGGAACAAAGAGGAGCTGAGGAGAGCGAAAAAGCACAGAGGGACCCCGGGCGCTGGATCCAGAGGCGGGCCCAGAGGGTGTGAGGTCCGGCTGGCGGCGGCGGCGTCGGCTGCGACCAGGACCGGCGTCGCGCGTCCCTGCATCCTCGCATCCGTCTGCACCGGCATGCGGTGGGCTCTCAGAGATCCAGGCGCGAATGCAGCGCGCCGGTCTTGCTGTCGTGGTCCCAGTAAGAGCAATGCATCATGGCGAGCTCGGGCTGCCGGGCGCAAGCGAACTGCAGGCCGGGCGCACTGGTGGGCGCGGGCGCCGGGGGCGCGGCGGTGGCTGGGCTGGCGGGGCTGAGCTGGCCTGGGGGCGGCGCGGCGGCCCCGTGGTGCGGTGGGGCAGGCGGCGGTGCGGCGGCCGCGTGCAGATGGTGTGCGTGCGGATGCGGGTGGGGGTGCGGCGGCGGCGGGGGGGCGGCCGGCGGGCCTCCCAGGCCGTTGTACGAGTTCACTACGCCGGGGGGCAGCGCCATGCTCTGCACGCGAGTGTATGGCCCGTAAGAGGCGGCCGGGCCCGCCAGCCCCTTGACCACAGCGGCCGCGCCGGGGCTGCCGGGGCCCGCGGCCGCAGCCGCCGCTGCTGCAGCCGCTGCGGCCGCCGCCATCTGGCAGGAGGCATAGGGCATGGGTGAGGGAGGCTGCGGTAGCGGCCACGAGTTGTTGAGGAAGCCGGACTGTAGGTACTTGGGGGGCGCCAGGTAGCCATAGCCGTCGGCCCCGGCGCCCGCCACGCCGCACCCGCCTGCGGCGCCTCCGGCCCCGAAGAGCCCCTTGCCGGGCTGGAAGTGCGCGGGTGGCGGCCGGAAGGGCCGCTTCATGCGGCGGCGGCGCCGGTAGTTGCCCTTCTCGAACATGTCTTCGCAGGCCGGGTCCAGCGTCCAGTAGTTGCCCTTGCGCTCGCCGCCGCCCTCGCGCGGCACTTTGATGAAGCACTCGTTGAGGCTGAGGTTGTGGCGGATGCTATTTTGCCAGCCCTTCTTGTTCTTCTCGTAGAACGGGAACTTGGCGATGATGTACTGGTAGATGCCGGACAGCGTGAGCCTCTTCTCCGCGCTCTCGCGGATCGCCATGGCGATGAGCGCCACGTACGAGTACGGGGGCTTCTGCGCCGGGTCCGGCTTCTCCGGGGCTGTCCCGCCGCCACCCCCTCCGCCCTTGCCTGGGCTCGGCGGCGGCGCTTCTGGCTCCTTGACTGTGCGGCCGGTCTCTGGGGCCAGCAGGGCCCCCGCCGCGTCCTCGGGCTCGGGGTAGCTGGCCATCATGACAAAGCCGGCGCGCCGCGGCCGGGCCGCCTCTGCTCTCCGTTCCAGGCGCTGGCGCGGCAAAGAGTTGGGGCGCACAAGTCCGCTTACGGCCGAGTCTCAAACTTCTGGAGACTGCGGATGCCGCCCGCGTTTGCTTGCTGGAGGCCTCTCGCTGCTCTCCCCTCTCCTTCCCCTTCCCCTAGGGAGCGGCCGGCGGGAGTGGAGCTCAGCCTCTGGCCATGGGGAGTCCGCCCAACAGAGAGGGGCTCCGGCCTCGCCGCCCCTCCCCGTCCAGGCCAGTCCCCGCCTTGGTGGGTTTTCTGTTCTGCTCTCTTCCCCTCCCCCCGCCCCCCGGTTTCCCGAAGCACGACCCGCGTCTCTGGCAGAGCTGCCTCCTGGAGTCCCTAGTGCGCCAGGAGCCTCGCTCTGTTCTGATTCGTATGGGCTCCACCGAGTTCCGCTTGCGTCAGGCGCCTTCGCCCCTATAGCGGGGCGGCCAGCCGCGCACGGGCGAGTTCATCTCCAAGTCACTTTTTGTAAACGCCCCGCACAGCCTGGACCGGCCTGCCCCCGCCCGGCGAGCCTCCGGGGCCCAGCCGACAGCCAGGCTCACGCGCCCTTGAAATCTGCCGGTACTCTCTCTGCGGGCTGGGCTGGGAGATGACAAGGACCCCGGTGGGGTCCACTCGCACCCAGCCAAAGCCCAGGAAGCTCGGGCCCCAGCGAGAAGAGGCGCTCCAAGCCTCCTCGCGGCTTTCAGGTGAAAGAAAACGACTCCTTTGCTCTGCCGTTTGCTGCTGTCTTGAGGCTGAACTAGCTTGGGGCTGGGGAGGGGCGAGACGGCGCAGGGCCGGACGGGGTAGGGTGGGGAGAGCTGCTCTGAGGCTTTGGGAAAATGAGCACAGAAACGCGTGTGACTGTACGAAGAAACCTCGGACTGGCCTGTCCCTCTCGCTCTCAGAGTGACTGGGCTGGAATGGGGCTGGGGAGAGGATCTCTGGGAATAGTCGTACAGGGGCGCCGCCTGAATAACCTCTGCCTCTCCCTGCGTTGCCAGTGGATCTAGGAACCAGGCTCCTCCTTGGAATCCCTGTACTAATCCTATGGGGTTGGAGTGAAGGTTGGATGTGTGCTTTAACAGCACCAAGTAGCTGCCCCTCAGCTATTGCGCTAATACAGCCGGGGATGTTGCCGGGACTTTGCGGGACTGTGTATGTGTGTGCACAGGGGTCACATATGGAAGTCATGGAGAAGAGCTGTCCTTGAGATGGGTGAGATACCAGGTGCATGTATGCTGCTCAGAAACACAGGTATGCACATGTACAAGGTGTGAGATTTGTATTTACAAGGTAAAACACACTGATAGTTACATAATATGTTTATCAAGTATCAGAGTAAATGTAGCTGGTGGATATAGCATCTTGTCTTTTTCTCCTTTCTTCTTTCCTTCCCCTCTTTCTTCCTTTCTTTCACAATTCTTCGATGCCTCTTTCCCTCCCAGTGCATGTATTTCGCCACAGACTGGGAAGAAAAACATCAGGCTGAGGGAGGGACTTGTTCAAATCTCTCTCCTGATGAGACATTTGTTCTGATCTTTCTCCAGAAGATCAGGAGTTAGTTGTCACCTACCTTAAGCAGAATTCTGATGGGAATCCAGTTATATCAGCATGTACAGAGATTGTTTCAGGGAAAATCAGGTGTGCCTTTTAACAGTATGCTCCTTAATAGTGCCTTTTAACTTGGCCTTAACAAAAAGTCTGCAGTTATAAAGTATGAGACAGATGGCCAGTGTTTTGAATCCTCAAACCCCAAACTCCTTGGTGCTGAGGAGTGGGGCAAGGCTGCCCTATGGAGGAAGGTGGACTGAATGGATGTCCTGTAGGTGTGTGTTAGTGATTGGCATGTCTGGAGTGGCTGGCTCAATGCCTGTCACTGCTTCTTCCTCCCAGGCTATTTCGACTCTGAGAGTTCTCCAGAAGCCCGAGGAGCCTTCAGTGGCCTGTAGTTCCAGCATCCACAGGCCATCTACAAGTGTTGTCTGCTGCTCACTCAGGCCTCTGATCTGCATTCTGAGATGAAAGGGAGGGAGGACAAGGGTGCTGGGGCTCTTTGGAATTCAGCATCTTGAAGATGACACCAGAGAGGTCAGCAGGGCAGCCCTTGCCTGGTCACAAGGATGAGAGGGAGCAAGGCTATCCACAAAGTAGCTTGGTTTTTTTTTATGGGAGGTCTCCCACTGCACCCAATAGGCATGGGGGAAGCAGCACTTCTGCAGAATCCCTGCTGCTGCTTTCTGAGCAGGAGTGCAGATGTTTTTCTTCTTCCTTACCCCCATCCTTGCCCAGGCTTTGGGTGGGAGTAGTGAGTCAGATTTGGGGCTGCTGCAGATTGACCTAGTGCCTATCCTCCCCCAGCCAGGGCCTGGGCAGGGGGAAAAACAGCTGGGTCTGGCCCTATCCTGGTGGGGGCTCCTCTCTCCTTTTCTCTCTCTCTCTTTTTTCTTTTTTTTTCTGACCACCCAGGCTGGCTCTCTGCCTCTCTCTCTTTCTTTCTTCTTCTCACAGGCATTTCCGCTGCTCAGCCCTGCAGCAGCCAGGTGTAACAGCATTGTTGTGTGTGTCATCACTTCCCTGAATTCCATACTCGGCTCCCTTTTCAGCCTTTAAGGAGCCTGTGTGTGTATGTGTGTGTGTGCGCGTGCGTGTGTGTGTGTGTGTGTGTGTGTGTAGGGGTTGGGGGCAAATGAAGGCGTTCCTCTAAAGGATTTTCAGAGTAGAAAGGAGTTCTGCTCTGAAAATATTGATTTCTGACTGTTCCGTGGAGGAACAGAACCCCCAGCCCTGGTGCAGAAGAGGATGCCTGATGCGTGCACCCTGGGAAGGGCTGGAATCAGTCTCCCCAAGATGTGCCTTCACATGGCGGTCGGCATTCGAAGGCTCAGAAAACAGGCAAGAAAATGCGGGCAAGAAGCCTGGCAGAATGATTACTTTCAGGTCCCCTCCAGGCCTCTGCGGAAAAGCCAGGGGCTTCGAGCTGGAGACAGAGGAGCCTAGGAAGAGAGTACAATCCTCTCCTTGCCAGCCCAGCCAGAGGTGGGTGAAGCGGGCGCTCCAGGAAACGGTGCGGGACGCCTTGATTTTTTCTCAGCCTTCGGAGGCAGGCTGGTTGCTGGTGGGGTCGGGATCCTCTCTGAACAGGGCATACTGTGCCTAGGTTTTGTGGACGCCCGGGCCGGTTCCTTTTCTCTCCGCGGCATTGGGGCGACGCAGGGCCCCGGCTTAGTGACCTTGGGGCGGCGCTCACTTCCCGAGGCCAGGGTGGTGGGCTGGGCAGAGATCACTGCCTCTTTGCCCCAGTTTTCCAGGGTCCCGCAGCTGCAATTGAGCAGCCACCGGCGCCTCCTGACCGCGGTCCCACCGGAGCGCCGCCTGCGGTCACGGTTCCAGTGAACCGCCGACCGAGCGCAGCCTCAGCTCCCGCGCCTCCTCGCAGTCTGTCCCCGCGCCTCGGAGGTCCCGACAGCCGGCGCGAGCAATCTGCTCGGCTCTGATGGAGACGCTTTTCTCCCCAGGGCCGGGAATCCTGCAACAGCGGCAGAAGCGGCCCTCGCCTCTGGCTCCCGGTGGCCCAGCTCTACTAGGGGAGCGTCGCGGCTGCTCTGAGGCAGGCAGCGCTTCGTTAGAACCGTTCAGCTCGTCCCGCGCCGACGCCAGCTGCCTGAACCAGGTCCCGCGGTCCCCTTTCCTAGCGGGACCCCGAAACACCCGTCGGTTTCCCACTCCTGAGGGGGAGAGAATAGAGCCTGCTGCAACTCTCTGCTTGTAGGGATGGCCTCTGCAGTGCTTGGCCAGCAAAGGGACGCTTCATTGTGTCTATTAGTACATCCCCATACACTCCACTCCTCAACAACTGTCAGCACTCACGCCCTCCTGGCCCCTCACACCTCCCTTTGCACCCACACCTCAGGGACCCGGTGTCCCTCCACTTAGGTCACGTTACTCTATCCACTTCTCTCTCTCTCTCTCTCTCTCTCTCTCTCTCTCTCTCTCTCTCTCTCTCGGTCAACTCCAGATCCCCTCTAGTTCTCCTTCCCCGCCTACTTCTCTCACACTCACCAGCTACACATACTAATTCAGATCCTGCACATGTCGGTGGAAAACATGTCAAGCCAATGTGCAGACCCTAAGCTTTTTCCACACTCTGCTCACCTTCCCATCTCACGGCACAGGAGGATCTCTGGGCTCCATGTTTACAAGCCTGACTCCCAGAAGCCTGTTGATTCTCTGATGTCCTTGGCCTGTGATTGGGGTGACTGGGCTGCCACCTGGGTGTTTTCATGGTGGGGTTGCTGCGCAGACCACAGAGAAACTCAGGTACTGAGCACATTCCAGATACACTTTAACATGCACGGGCCACTCACACAGGCTTCATCTCTGTCTCACAGCTCTGCTGAGCTTGCTGCAGCAGCAGACACCCACATAGCACCAAGTCTGAAGTCAGTGGGTATTAGTCTGCCTGGCTGGGATTAGCAAAGTCAGTTATGTGCTTGGGAGAGAACAGGGGAATGGGGAGAGAGAGAGATATTGAGAAAGAGGAAAGAGAAGCGACCTCCTACTCTGGGAAGAACTCACACATGAGAGCTGTTTCCTGTTGTTAAGTGTCTCATTGAGCTCCCCTCTTTCTCCCCCAGGAAGGGCTGAGAGGCAGTAGACCAGAGCTCTGGCTCCTCTTTACCTTGCTGATGTGGGGGTAGGAGTCCACCAACACTATTTTGTCCCAAGGAGTATGTGCCTCACCGTCAATCAGGCAGAATGCAAGGCAGTTGTAGGCCTTTTTCATGGTGGAGGCCAACTGGGAAAAAGGCAGAAGGGGCTGGGTCCTGGGCCAAGTCAGGCCCTCCTCCCTCCAAAGACCCCTGGGATGCTCTCAGAGCCGGATTCTAGGGTGGTGGGAGCTGCTGACAAGCATCCTCTGATGTCCCTCATGATATCTATGGCCCAAAGCCATTTTGTTCAGCTCTGAACAGTGAGTGCCTTGCCAGTAGGCCTCAGACTTGCTTGGGAACATGATGTGCTCTTAAAAGTTGCCTCGTTGTGGCTCTCCACACCCAGACTGTAAGCGCTAATGGGCAGACTCTGCCCTCTGCTCCTCACTCAGTGCTTCCCACCAGGATGGGCTTAGTACTTTTTAGTAGAATTAGAAAACGGTTCCACTGGACAGAATTGGGAAATGCCACTTTCCTTATAATGAAGTTAGAATTTCCAAGAAAGGGACTGTAGCTGAGGAAGAGTGGTTTGACCATTGAGAGCCAGCTCAGGATCTGAGAGTTCTCTGCCATTTGGGGTTACTTGCTCATTATAGCTGCATGACCATGGTGCTGAACCTTAGGCAAGGACAAGGACACCTCCCTAGTCCCCAATCAGGGTGAGGACCTGTCTGAAACATTCAAACTAGACTTTACTGGAAACAGGTCTCTGCACTCAGGGCAACTGGCTTGCAAGGTAAGGCCTGCAGTCTCCAGCCCCATGCTAACCCATGAGGGGATGCCAGAGAGAGCCCTTCCCCCTTGGTCCTCATTCCTGGCTCAATTTTTGCCCACAAAGTGGGCCCTGCCTAAAGACGATAGGCAACTGCCATGCAGGAAGGCAGTTTTAGATGCCTAGCTGGCACAAAGTCCAGAGGAAGGGAGGGAGAAGGGCTGAGTTTTGTATTACTGTTCTACCTTTGGAGATTTTCCTCATGCCAAGATGGGTGTGTATGTGTGTGTGTGTGTGTGTGTGTGTGTGTGTATGCGGTATAACTTTATTAAACACTTTTTTTTTTCTTTTTTTGAGACAGGGTCTCACTCTGCTCCCCAAGCTGGAGTGCAGTAGTGCAATCTCGGCTTACTGCAATCTCCACCTCCCAGGCTCAAGTGATCCTCCCACCTCAGCCTCAGCCTCAGGCTCCCAAGTAGCTGGGACTATGGCTGTGAGCCAACACAGTCAGCTAATTTTTTTTTTTTTTGTATTTTTGGTAGAGACAGTGTTTTGCCATGTGGGCCAGACTCGTCTTGAACTCCTGAGCTCAGGGTGATTTGCCTGCTTCAACTTCCCAAAGTGTTGGGATTGCAGGTGTAAGCCACCATGCCTGGTCAGTTTTTTAGTTTTTATTTCAATAGTTTTGGGGGAACAGGTGGTTTTTGGTTACGTGGATGAGTTCTTTAGTGGTAATTTCTGAGATTTTGGTGCACTTGTCACCTGAGCATTGTACACAATACCCAGTGTGTAATCTTTTATCCCTCACCCCCCTCCTACCCTTCCCCATTGAGTCCTCATTATATAATTTTTTTTTTCTTTTTGAGACAGAGTCTCAGTCTGTTGCCCAGGCTGGAGTGCAGTGGCGTGAACTTGGCTCACGGCAGCCTACTGAGTTCAAGTGATTCTCCTGCCTCAGCCTCCTGCGTAGCTGGGACTACAGGCATGCACCACCATGCCCAGCTAATTTTTGTAATTTTAGTAGAGATGGAGTTTCACCGTGTTGGCCAGGCCGGTCTTGAACTCCTAACCTCAAGTGATCTGCCCATCTTGGCCTCCCAAAGTGTTGGGATTACAGGCGTGAGCCACTGCGCCCGGTCCATTATGTCATTCTTATGCCTTTGCGTCTTCGTAGCTTAGCTCTCACTTATAAGTGAGAACAGAGGATATTTGGTTTTCCATACTTGAGTTACTTTACTTAGTACAATGGTCTCCAACTCCATCCAGACTGCTGTGAATGCCATTATTTTATTCCTTTTTATGGCTGAGTAGTATTCCATGGTGTATATATATCACATTTTCTTTATCCCCTCATTGGTTGATGGGCATTTAGGCTTTTTCCGTATTTTTGTATGTAGATGGTAAACAATATACAGGTTGATGTATTATGACATATAATGCAGTATGTAACCACCACCTGGATCAAGATATAGAGCATTTCTGGCACGTCATAAGGTTCCTTCATATCTTTTTCCAATCAATATTGCCTCAAAAGGGAACCCATATTTGGATTTCTATCACCATAAATAACCTTTGCCTGCCTTGAGCCTCATATAAATGGAGCGTATAGCATATATGCCTTTATGTCTAGTTTTTTCTGCACAACATATTTTTAATATTCACTGGTCTTGTTGCATGTGTTAGACATTTATTTCTTTTTATTGCTGTGTAATATTCTAGTATTTGCTTATCCATCCATGTGTTGAGGGACGTTTGTTTCCAGTTTTTGGATATCATAAATAAAGCTGCTGCCCACATTGTTGTACATGTCTTTTTTGTGAAGGGCATTTTGCTACTCTTGAGTGAATTGTAAGAGTAGGCATATATTTAGTTTCAGTAGATACTGCTAAACAGTTTCCAAAGTGATAAAACCAAATACAGTGGTACACAGATAGACAAACATACTTTAACAGGGCCTTTTCCTTATAGATAGCATTCTCTAAAAACCACTATTTACCTGCACTTATTATTACTATTACTATAACTGGAAAAAACAGCTTTTTTGTTTTTTGTTGTACAAGATCTCACTCTGTCACCCAGGCTGGAGTGCAATGACGTGATCATGGCGCACTGCAGCCTTGACCTCCTGGGCTCAACCTCCTGAGTAGCTGGGACTACAGGTGCTCACTGCCACACCCAACTAATTTATGTATTTTTTGTAGAGATGGGGTTTCGCCGTGTTGCCCAGGCTGGTCTTTAACTCCTGGGTTCAGACAGTCCTCCCATCTCAGCCTCCCAAAATGCTGGGATTACAGGCGTGAGCCACCACACCTGGCCAAAAAAATAGCTATCCTTTATTAAGCACTTATTTTGTGCCAGAAACATTACATGCATTATCTCATTTTGTTTTTATGAGAAACCCAAGGGATTGGTACTATTCCCATTTTACACTTGAGGAACCTGAGGCTCAGAGAGAGTGAGTAACTTGCCAAAGGCCCCCAGCTGATAAGTGACCACTTGACTGTGGGCTCTGAATTTCACTTCCATACATGTACCTCTGCTTGTTCCTGTGAGGTCACGAAGTTCTCCCTTCCATCTGACCAAATCCAGCTGCCAGGTAACAGACTCATTTCCTATCAACCTGTGGTCCTCTCTGCATACCTTCTCACACCTAGATTTGAGATCTGTGTACACACACATATGCACACAGTTTCTCTCCCACAGCCACACACTCACTGTGAAGAAGGAGAGGATGGGGGCCAATTTAGTGAAGACTTCAGAGCTTGCCAAGTCCCGGGCTTAATAACCTAATGAGGTCCCTCTCAGGGAATTTGAAGAAGATTGGACTAGGGACCAGCCTGTTTCTGGATGCTGCAGAGGATAATTCAGAGCCTTTCTTTCCCTGGAAAGAGATGGGAATTTGGTCCTCCTCCCAGCATGCTGAGCCAAGCCCATGGTGGGCTTCAGAGGCTGATGCCTAAGGCATCCCTCTGCAAGGTTTGTCGAGAGATGTTGCACTTTGCCCTGGAACGTGGTGAGTAGGCAGGATGTGTGTGGTCTGAGCAGGGAGAGAGCAGGAAGTCTGGGGAACTGCCCCTCTAGGCACAGTGCTTGACTAGGCCCTGCACGGAATGGTCACCACGGGAGGGAGAACCAGCAGCCTCCTCCTTGGGACCATGGGTTACCAAATCTCCAAGTCTCCAAGCCCCTAAGCTTGACTGAGAGGAGTGTTGCTACTCTGTGGGTGGAGGCCATATGTGGGTTTTCTATGCTTTGCAGGTGGCCCCTCCTCAGGCCCCTTTCTAGACTAATTGAGGTCTTGCTGGGCTCTGGGTTTATAATTGGGGGTAATTGCTGACAGGCTGTTGTGGTGGTACAAGCAGGTTTTTGTTGGGGAAGCAGTAGTCAGGATTTGGGAGCTTTGGGTGGGGACAGTCCAGGATCCCAATGTTCCCTGTTCCAGGAAGCTCTTGTCCCTGGCCATTTGCTTGGAGGCAGTACTCCCGAGGACCAGGGACTGGTAGCATATCTGAACAGGAAGGGACCTCCTCATGCGGGTGCTGGGAACTCAGATTCAGAAGCACACAGAGGGAGGTAGTGCAGCTGCAGCAGAGGTTCTTATGCCTGGCACTGTCATCTATGCACACCACTGACAGGCTGGGAGGCACTGCCGTTGGGTGGCTAACAGACCTCTGTTCCAATTCGTACTCATACCATCCTTGGAAATGATGGAACTTCACCTTGCATCAGAGTTTTAATTTTTTTAAAATCATTTTTTGAGCAGGCAATGTGTTCACATGGACCAAAACTGAAAAATATACAAGGCTGGCAGTGAAAAGTTTCTCTCCCACTTCTGTCCCCCAAGTCACCCTCATCACAGGCAGCCAGTGACCCTGGTTTCACGTATATCCTTCCAGACATAGTTTATGCACATACAAACGTACCCACATACATTCTCCCGCACTCCTTCAATTTTTGCCTATGGCAGCATCGTATGCACAGTGTTCTGCCCCTTAAAAATCTTTCCACATCAATGCATTCTCTTTTTAGAACTGCAGGTTGTTTCTGATCCTTTGCTTTTACAAGCAATACAGTACTGTATAAACTTGTATATATCTCATTTTGTAAGTATGTATATATATTTATAAAATGATTTCTAAAAGTGTAAGATTGGGTAGTGGATATATGCACCTATAACTTTGATAGATTATGCCAAATTCCTTATAGGTTGAGCCAGAATACACTCCTGCCAACAGTGTGTGGCACTCCTGTTTCCTCATAGCCACTCTAACACAAGTCTTTTTTTTTTTTTTCTTTTTTTGAGATGGAGTCTCGCTCTGTTGCCAAGCTGGAGTGCAGTCATGCGATCTCGGTTCACTACAACCTCTGACTCCCTAGTTCAAATGATTCTCCTGCCTCAGCTTCCCGAGTAGCTGGGATTACAGCCATGTGCCACCACACCCAGCTGAATTTTTTTTTTTTTTTTTTTTAGACGGAGTCTCGCTCTGTGGCCCAGGCTGGAGTGCAATGGCACGATCTTGGCTCACTGCAAGCTCCACCTCCCAGGTTCACCCATTCTCCTGCCTCAGCCTCCTGAGTACCTGGGACTACAGGTGCCCGCCACCTCGCCCGGCTAATTTCTTGTATTTTTTTTTAGTAGAGATGGCGCTTCACCATGTCAGCCAGGATGGTCTCGATCTCCTGACCTCAAGATCTGCCCGCCTCAGCCTCCCAAAGTGCTGGGATTACAGGCATGAGCCAATGCGCCTGGCCAACTTACACTGCACTCCAGCCTGGGTGACAGAGCGAGACTTCATCTCAAAAAAGAAAAAGAAATAAATCTTACAGATATAATTGAGGACCCTGGCTTCCTCGATTCCCCTCTGTCCTTCTCTCTCTTGAGGTGATCACCACAGTAAATTTGGTGCTTAAGATTCCCATACCTGCTTTTGCACTTGTACTATGTGTGTACCCATTCCTAGGCAATACTTATATAAATGGTATCCTGCTGTTGCAGAAAGACACGTGCTTGCTTTTTCATTCAACCTTATGTTTGTGAAAAAGTTCCTGGTTGCCACACAAAGACAAGCTCCATTCATTTTCCCTGTGTTGCACCATTCCATTGTATGAATACATCATGGTTTATTTATCCATGTTCCTGTTAAGAGCATTGGGTTATTTCCTATTCTTTACTATTACCAATAGTCTTGCTATGGATATTCTTAGGCATGTTTGCTAGTGCTTATGTGCTACAGTTTACCAAGAAGTGGGACTGCTGGATGAAAGGTTACAGGGATTTTCAACTTCACCAGTTACTGTTGAGCAGAGCCTCAT